CAGCTCAGCAGCAGCTCGGCTCAGGCCGGGAATCGAACCACTGTCTCTCAGAGCTCGCACCCTTGAGCGAGCTCTTAACCAACTGAGCCACTCGGCCGGCCCCTGATTTTAACTTTCTTTGTATTTTCAAAACTGTCTACAATATTTTGATAATTAATAACAACAACTTTTTTGAAAGTAATGTAAGGCTGACTTATACACAATCATTTGGAGATGACTATACAAGGGCTTTCCACCAAGTTGTATAAATACACATGAACTTGCATAATTGCATTCATGTGGTCAAACATCATAAACATACCTAATTTTGCAACAGACAAGGAGGCAGAAAAAAAGCGAAAGGAGAATGATGGTTCAATCCCCAAGAATCAGCTGAAGTCTCATTTGCAGTATCTACCATCAAACGATCAGAGTCTGTGGGGTTTCGTTCAAACTATCAGGACAGAGAATCTGATTGACTGGTCGATGCTCTGGCCAATGGGAGCACTCCTTCTGTGCCGGTTTCTTCCCTCGTCCAATGGGCTGTGGATCATGAAAATGTAACAAACATGGCCACCCAGCCTTCCATGTGGACAGCAGCAATGGGTGAAGGGACATTTTCCAGAGAAGAGTGATAAAAATTAAAAAAAAAAAAAAACATTTATCTTCACATGTGTTCTCAGATACACAGAAGCAGCTGGCCCAGAGAGAAGCAGCTGGAACACTCTGAGAACCGTGTCTTGCCGTACGAAAATTCTGTGTAGTAGAGCCAAAGGGAAAGAGCCAGCAGCCTGGGCCCAGCCCCCCGCCAGCCACTCTGCCAATCCCAGGAGCCTGCAAGTGACCTCACGGTGCAGTCTTCACCTCCATCTCAGGAGTCCCAACACCTGTTTTCCGGTCGGGCACTTTGAAAAATTAAACATGTTCTTATGTGTGGAAAGCACTTTGAAAACTCTCAAGTAGGACCAATGACCAGGCTTCTAACATTAGCCATTTCCTTTATACGAGACAGAATCTTACAGAGGAAGTCACTCACAGAAAGGTACACTGCTGCAACTAAGGGGTGCAGCCCCCGTCCCAGGTCCCAAACGCAGAGAACCAACGATACAAACCCTCTCAGCTCTCTTGGCTCCCACTGCCCAACAACCATGGAAACGCCACTAATGGGTTATTTACAACAGGAAAGCCCTCCAAAACATGATATTCTCATGCTGCATGTCTCAAATAATGCTTGACAGAGTCTCCTTGTGCCCCAACTTGCCATGCGAGAGAGGAGAAACCTGGAAGCTCACTGAAGCCACCCAATGCGGGTGCAGGTCACAGGTGAGTGACAAAGGTGGGGCGGAGGCAAGGTGAGTGGGTGGCCTTGTCCTCCCACCACCTTCCCAGCTGCCTCTTATCTATAAGCTTCTCTTTTTCTGGACACAAAACAGTTAACAAGTCACCAACATCCCCTCTTCCGTTCTTCCAGTTGGCAATTTTTCTTTTTTAGGTCAGGTGCTTCCCTTCAGGAATGATACAGGAACTGTATTTTCATTACAAATGAAATGCTACTCAAACAATTTTCTTTACATTACTGCATTATTAATTTACACATTTAACAATAAATGAAAAGTCTAAGTGTCAACATCAGATA